GCCTCCTGCATCGCCTCGTCCCTCAGGATGTACGATGTCAATGAGTCCTCGTTGAGTGACTCCCTCGTGCCCGGCACCACCGTCAGCCGTTTCATCAGGTTGTAGCTGCTCGGGAGCCCTTTGATGACGTGCGTGATGTACGACGCCGTCGAGTACTCGACGCCGGCCATCCGCATGCAGGCAAGGAGACGCCGAGCTCGGTTGCAGTAGTCGGTCGCCGTCTCCTGCTCGCCCATCCGCAGGTGCGTCATCTGCTCCTCCAGCTGGCCGATGTACAGGTCGTCGGTGACCTGGTACGTCGACGTGATGAACTGCCACGCCCGGTGGCCGGCGTCCAAGTGACTCAGGCACGACTTCAAGGTAATCTGCACCACCGGCGAGCAGCACCGCGAGATGACCGTGAAGGTCAGGAGCTGCACGGCGCGGAACTCCGCACGCAGCTCGGCGTTGCTCGCAGGCGGCGTCTCCACGCTGCCGTCGGCGAAGCACATCAGCCCGGCCATCTCAAGCTGGGGCTCGATGGATTCCTTCCACGTGATAAGGTCGTGTCGACTGACCAGCGGTGTCGTGATGGAGACCTTGTCCGGCAGGAACTTGAAGTACCCGTAGGTCGGTGCGATCCCTCCAGCAGTCACGTGGGTCGCCGACGCCGGCGTCACACTGCTTCGACGTCCACCGACGTCGCCTTGTGAGGAGCCCGCAGCCGCCGACGACTGCAGCCCTCGCGCCTGAATGCCGCCGACTTCACCGTCGGCCGTTCGGAACACCCCTCTCTCCCTCGACGTGCCTCCCGCACTGCTGCCGACTTGGTCACCGGCGTGGACGCCCACGTCGACGCCGCCTTCGTTGTTCACCGGTCAAAGAGATGCAGGTCGAGAAGGATGCTCCATCGCCCACTTTGCGCGGATGATCGTAGATAGTCTACGCAGTAGGCACGGGGTAGGAGTGATCGTAGCGTTCGTTCCTTAGTCGTTCACTTGTGCTCACTCTACTTGCGCATTCACAGGGAAAGTTGGCAAGAGTTTTACTAGCAAAAGTTCACAACAATGGTAGCAACAAAGTTGGCAAGAAAGACTACATCAGATGCTAGCAAGCATGCAGGTCGACTGTCAGCGGTGCACGGTCAGCCGCGTTCCAGCACGACAAGGTCGACCGCACTCCAACAATGCAAAGTCGCGGCCTGCCAACGCTGCAAGTCGACGGCGTGCCAACGCTGCAGCAAGGCGGCTGCACAGCGTTGCATCCGCAGGACAGCAGCGCACCCGCTTCGCAGGTGCTCCCAGTTGATTGGCGTGCTGTGCCTCGTCACCTGCACAGCGCAGACGCTAAGCCGACCAGGTGCCCATGACTGCACCTAATCCGCCCACGTCGACCTCGGGATACCACCTCCGAGGTCGGCTTCGCCAGAACCACTTGGGCAACTGTCGCCCGGGTAACCTGGTCGACCTGGAAACCACCAGGTCGGCGTCGACTTCTTCGGGAAAGTCAACCGAAAGTTGTACGTGCTCGTCGACCGCCCAAGTCGACGACCACCTGCCGACTTCACCAAGTCGGCCACTCCCCAGGTCGGCGCCACGAAGTCGGCGCCTCCAAAGGTCGACCTCGCCAGGTCGACCACCCGAACTCGGCGGCCCCCAAGTCGGCGCCACTCCTCTTTGTGCCCATCGAAAAACCCAGGTCGACGACCACCACCGGTCGACCACACCAAGTCGACCACACCCCTGGTCGACCAGACCCAGGTCGACCAGCCCTGCTGTCATCCGACCACACCAAGCCGGCGTCAGCAAGTCGACGCCCTGCCAGGTCGATCCCAAGTCGACCTCCCGAAGTCGGCGCCCTCCCAAGTCGGCGCCCACTGCTGCGGGTCGGCTGCACCTCTCGCACACCCGACCACGAAGTCGGCTCCGCCAAAGCGAGGACGGGGCCAACACACAACCCCCGCTGACACTCAGGTGTTGCCGCTGTGGGTACCGCTGGATCCATCCCATAATTCAGGAAAAAACGGTGAATGGTTGGTCGTGCTGGATGGGGCATTGTTATACACGAATTCCAGAATCGAGAGGGAAATTTCCCAGGAAGCAGGGACGGGGTAGTTCGTGCGGATGAGCTCGTCTATGGTCTGGTTGGTCCTCTCGGACTGTCCGCCAGTTTGCAGGTGATAGGCCCGCGATAATTAGAGCCTTGTGCCGTACTGCGCCCACGTCTCCCTCCAGATTTTCGATGTAAACTTCGGGTCCCTGTCGCTAACGATCGCAGATGGGATTCCGTGAAGTCGGACAACGGTCGAAATGAACAGGCGCGCAGTTTATTTGGCTATGATGGTTGTACGACTTGGTGCGAAGTGCGCCATTTTCGTGAGGCGATCGACGATGACAAACACTGCATCATTGTCGAACGCGCCAACTGGAAGCCCCGTGACAAAGTCCATTATCACATGTTGCCACGTTCGCCCGGGTGGCTCACGGGGTTGCAGCAGGCCGGCCGGTCGCTGGCGTGTCGATTTCTTTACCTGGCACACTCTGCATGAAGACACATAACGCTGCATGGCAGAGTTAGAATCGAGCCAATAGTACTGACGGTGCACAATTTTTTTAGTATTGTAAACTCCGAAATGTCTGGTGAGGTTCGAATCGTGGACATCTAGGATAAGTAATTTACGGAGTAGGCGATAAGCGGGTACCCAAAACTCGGTCAGTTCTGGCTTTTAGGTAATAGTCCCCTTATTCGTCTTCGTCGCCTGTAGGTGATTGCCCATCGTGAATAATGGGTCCGTTTTGTAGCCGTGGGTGGGTTCGAATGTAGCGGGTTCGAATGGGTGATCAGTACTGTAGCGGATTGGACTGTTGGTCGGGTCAGGCGTCGACAATGTTGTTCGTGCCTTGTTTGTAGGTGATGCGATAGTAAAAATGAGAGGCACCTGATTTTTTGTGGATCGAGGTTCGGATGCATGCGTGAGATAATGTAGAGATCTGTGGTCTGTTCACATAGTGACATCGGCACCTGTCAAGTAGTAGTGCCAAAGTTTAAACGCATGCATGATGGCAAGCATCTCCTTGTCGTGAAGGGGTATTTGTACTCGTAGGCGATTGGTTGTAAGCCGTTGCCGAAATCTTGGAGCAGCACTGCTCCGATAGCAAAATCGGAAGCGTCGGTGATGACTTCGAATGGCTGGGATGGGTCGGCGATGCGAAGGACTGGAGGGGACACCATCAATTGTATCAGCTCCTGAAAAGCCGCCTCAGCTTCCTCCCCCCCACACAAAATCCCTGTCCTTGTGCAAAGTCGGTCAGCGGGCCAGTTTCCCCCCCCATATTCGGGATATACCGCCTGACATAATTCACGAACCCCAAGAAACTCTGAATTCAGTGACATTAGTAGGGGCCTTCTATGAATGAATGGTCTTAATTTTCTTCGGGTCGATTTTGATGCCGTCGCGTGAGATGACCTGTCACAAAAACTCCAACTCTTGCTTAAAATACTCACAGTTAAACCCTTTGGTGATGAAGCAGTTGGCTTAATGGCGTTCAAAAACTTGGTTGAGGTCGCGGATGTCTATCTGCCCACCAGCGAGCCCCATGGGATCATCGAGGCATGTGGGTGACCCATGTCCCCTTCCACTTGCTTCACCCACTCCGCCCTGCACCCCCTCACTCTCCGCTCTCCTCTCCTGCCAGTGTGGGGATGATGTGTGTCTATCTGCCCACCAGCGAGCTTCGCGGAAGCGACGCTTGAGGCTTGTGTCTAACCCCTGCAGCTCCCTCTTCCCACAACCTCTCCCCCAACCTCCCCACCCCCCTGTACGCTTTCGCCCTTCATGTCAGTTTGAGGATGAGGTGTATCTGCCCACCAGCGAGCCCCACGGCAGCATTGAGGCGTGTGTCTCCCGCAAGGCTCTAGCGCCTGCAGCAAGGCTTTAAGGCAGCATGTGCCCACACAAGGAGTCGAGATGGCAATGCAACATCTGCTCTGCACGTGCCAGGCCGCGTGTGTAGGCTACATGTGCTGGCTGGCACGGCTGTTGTACAGTGTATGAGCATGTACATGTGTACAATTCTAATGGTGTGTGTGCGCGACTGGTATATATGACACAACAGTCATATAATACGCTACTTGTTTTACACTCTCTACAGAAACTGATTTGCCGATCTACTGCACCTGTAGGTAGATACGGTAGCATTTCTTCATCTTACTTATTAACTTTTACAACACCTATGCTCGTGGCTGTTACGGTACTTGCATTGCATGGTTGGTTACACATTATTTGATTACATCATGGTTACACGAATTGGTGGTTACACGCATGGCTGACTATGCGCATGGCTGGTTACACACATAGCTGGTCATACGCATGGTAATTTTCACACGCACGGCCGATTACATGGGCGGGACATGGCCATGCATGGTGAGGTGGCAGTATGCCAGCACAGCACCGCCCATGTGACAGCCTGGCATGGAGCGTGCCTCTGTCAGCAACGCGGCCTGGAAAGGGGGTGACGTGGCAGGAGGGAGTAACTTGGGGGATGGTATGGTAGAGAGGGGATGGGGATTGAAATGGGGGAGATGGGGGACGAGATGGGGGATGTTATGTTCACTGACCGCCTTCCCCCACTCCAGCACCCCCAACGCCGCTGCAGGACTCATACCTTTTGCTGGCAGAGACGGCACGAGGTAGGGGGTCATCAGCACCCACGACATCACCTACACACTAATCACTACTCATGCTTCATGCAACCCCTTTATAACCGATACCACCCAACCCCATACAAGCATGTCAAGCCATACAAGCACCAGCCCTACCCCATACTAGCAGCACAGCACGGAGGCTGATGAATTCGAACTTTTCCTGCGCCGAGGGGTTGCGAGCAAGGGGCTGACCAGCACACACGACAAATCAACTCTGAGAATTCTCAAAAGTGATGTCAACCAGCACACCGATGCCATGACCCGCGCTCATCCCTGTTCATGCTCATGCAACCCCCTTACAAGCACCCCACTCCTACCAGTGGCACGGCCCTGAGGCTGGTGGATTCGAACTTGTGCTCTGCAGAGGCGTAGCGAGAGAGCACCTCTGGTGCCGTGAGGGAGGTGTGGCAGAGAAACATGGCGAGGGACCTCACGTTCTCCCTGCGCCTGCACAGCCCCAGGAAGAGCATGCCATGCTGGGGAGAGAAGTGGGAAGGGGGAGACAAGGTGGGGGGCATAAACAGCCGATCATGTGGTGAGAAGAGGGAAGACGCGGGGGGGGGGGGGGGGGGGGGGGGAGGGATGGGGGGGGAAGGAGATGCAGGGGCGGGACAGAGGATGCAGGAGCTGGGGCGGGGGAGGGGGCCCTGGGAGGACAGGAGCTGACCCAGGCCATGTTGTTACTGTTCTTCATTGCATCTCAATCTTTGACATCTTTTATACAGGAACACTCTGTTCTGTAGTTGGTTGCATGCTTCACCTCTTTTTGTTTTACAGGATTTATGACTGCCTTTTTTTTGGTTGCAGCTTTCCCATGCCCCCAACCCTTCCCCCCAACGTACCCTAACCACAGTACATGTCTGGGGGACTAATATATCTGTTTGCTGAAGCGGGCAGGTGAATTTTGCACCTCCTCAAATGTGACTATAGTGAAAATTCACTCCCGAACCAAACATGTTCAGGTTCGCCCTGAACATGGTGATGTTTGAAAATTCACTAACAGTTCTGCCCCTGCAAAACAAACCTCGAACACCCCTAACCCCCCAAAAAATGTTCGGCCGAACCGAACATGTTCAGCTCGGCCGCAAGACATGTTCGGTTCAAACACGTTCGAGTTCGCCCGTTGCTATGGAGTTCGAGGTCTAATATACAGCACAGTTGAGCTGGGCCTGCACAGCTTACGAGGGAGTCTGCAGGGGCGCCTGTCTCCTCCTCCCTCTTCATGCCTTCAAACATCGCATGTGCGATGGTGGCGTTGAGAAGGGAGAGTGTGAGAGCGAGTGTGTGTGAGGAGAGAGTGAGGGGGGGTGTGAGGAGGAGAGCTCACCAGCGAGTCAGCAGGGGCGCCTGTCTCCTCCTCCACCTCTCGCTTCATGCCTTCAAACATCTCATGCGCGATGGTGAGGTTGAGCAGTGAGGGCGATGAGGAGGAGTCGGTAGGAAAGAGCGGAGGGGAGGCGTGGGGGGTTTCAGGGGTGGTGGAGGATTGGGGGTTGGCAGGGGAATGTTGGGAAGGGGGTGACGTTGGTGTGGTTGAGATTCCTGCCTCTGATGGCTGCAGGGGTGGTGGGGGTTGAGAGAGACATAGGGGAGAAGTGAGGGGCAAGTGGAGTGATGAGAGGGGAGGAAGAAGAACAGAGAATGGAGGATTGAGGTTGGCATAAGGGAGGGGGGAGATTGTGGTGTGGTGGAGATGGGTGCAGTGGTTTACACGGGGGACAGTGAGGGGAGAGGAGAAAGTGGAGTGACGAGAGCGGAGGAAGTAGAAAAAAGGAGGGGGGAGATGATAATTCTGGTGGCAGCGAAAGCAAAGAAGGAGAACGTATGTTGACAAGAGATAGGAAGAAAGAGCGGAGGGTGCAGAAGGAATCACGGCCCACAGGGGGCCGCACGGTGGGCAACACGCAGTTGAAGTGCATATTTGAAGCATGTGCACCAACAAAGCATACCCAGAATCACCCGAACGCATTGTAGTCAAGACAAAGATTCAAAACAAATCCTTCATGCTGCAATGCAAGCCAGGTGTACCTCTGGGTGTCCCCCAGGAAAAACCGGGCAGTTTGGGAATTCGCCCACAGCCGTGCCTCGCTGCAGCAGCAGGAAGCAGCCATCAGCCGTCACCACCAGCGCCGCATTCCCCAGCGCGTCCCCCATGTGCTGGCACGCTTGCGCGTCGCGCTGGCCTATGGCCTGCTGACACGTGGCACATGGAGCCATGCGGTCACCAGTTTCTTTGAGATGGGGACACTCTTGGGACTCAGTAGCAGCAGTGGGAACAGTGACAGTGGTAGCAGTAGCAGCAGCGGAAGCAGTGGCAGCAGCAGCATCGCCATCTCCATCCTGCGCCATCTCAGAGAACCGAGCTTCCCTGCCAGCCCCACACTGCCTGGAACCCTCTTCCATTCCGGCCCCCTTGCATGCTCCATCACCGCTCTCCCCTTCACCAGCTGCTGCGTCTGCTCCTGTCCCCATTCCCGGCCCCTCGCCTGTTCTGAGGCGCTTGGCAGGAGCGCTGCCTGAGAGGGGAGGTGCGAGGAAGCTTTGCCAGTCGGAGCAGAGGTTGGTTGTGATGAGGCTCCTGATGGGGGCATGGTGGAGAGGAGAGATGAGAGGTGAGAAGTGCGAGGGTAATGCAAAGGGGAGAGACGATGAGATGGATCTAGCGAGAGGGAGAAACGAGGTGTGAGCAGAGCACTGCTAGGATAGTGCAAGGAAGAGAGGTGATGGGGCGAAAGGAGGGGGATGAGAGATGAGCAGTGCGCGGGTATGATAGTGCCAAGTGGGCCACAGGTGCATGCTGATTAACACCCCCTTTCTGTGCTTCCTCTGTATCTCCCACCCCCTTCCCCCCCCCCTCCCTTCCTCACTTGTAATCCGTGAGGCCCAGGTGCAGACACACACGGGGCCGCACAAGTGGGGTTCCCTGCACACCTTGCTCCACCGCTTCTGCCGCTTCCGATGCCACAGCAGCAGACGGAGAGGCGGTGGAGGACGGGGGCTGCAACGAGAACCCGCCATACTGAGGGGTGCACGAGGGGCAGGGCACAGATGGGGACATGGGGGGCGGAGGGTGGGGGCGGAGGGGCAGGGGGGAACGTCGCACTTTGATACATGGCATAGCACAGTGAGTGATGAGAAGCCAAAGATGAGTGTAGGCCGAGACCATCAAGACCACAAGTCGACTCACAAGTCATTCATGAGAGCTGACAGCTCAAAAGTGACTCACTCTGAACTTGGATCCGTTGTAGAGGGATGGCTGATGCGCCTTGCGCCTCTGCCACTCCTGCCATCCCCAGCCGTGATGTAGGAGGGAAGTTGGAGAGGGTGGAGGACAGGGGGGACAGGGGATGGGGAACGGGGGAGGGCCGGGGGGGGTTGGGGGTGGGGGGGACGTGTGTGAAAGCATGTGAGGGCGGTGAACGTGTGGGTGTCGTTAGGCAGCATTGTCAAAGGAGATAGTGGAGAAGAAAGGCGAGGCGAGGCACGAAGAGAGGTGGTTGAAGGAGGGAGCAACGCCCAGCCGTAGTTGCCTCCTGTTCCAACCTTCCTTCCCCCCACGCCCCACACACCCCCATCACTCACCGTCTCATCTCACCACACCCCACCACGTCCCACCATGCCCCACCATTTCACCATCTCACTCATCATCTCTTGAGCGCGCTGTTGGAGTGGGGCCTGCGGTTGAAGGGGTGTGTATCGAGTCAACCCAAACCACGCCCCAACCTGTCCCACCCAACTCAAAGCCCGCCCCACCATGCCCCACCACGCTCCACCACTCTCCGTGTGCATCATTCTCTCGAGCGCGCTGTTGGGGTGAGACCTGCAGTTTGAACTGTGTGTTCTGAATCGACTCAAACCACGCCCCACCAGGTCCCACCCCACTCAAAGCCCACCCCACCACGCCTTACCACGCCCACACTCACCGTGTGCATCATTCTCTCGAGCGCGCTGTTGGGGTGGGGCTTTCTGTTGAAGCGCGATGAGAAGTGCACCGCCAGCTGGCAATGGTGGGTGGAGACACAAGCAGGAAAGAGGAAAGGCAGACAAAGGGGTGGGGACGGCAGCAAATGCGAGATGAGAAGTGCATTTACAGCTGGCAGCGGTGGGGGTGGGAGGTGGGACGAAGGAAGAACGGGTTTGAAGGGATAGACGGGAGGGATGGTGGTGATGGGATGTGCGATATTGGGAATATGGATGAAAGAAGTGATGCTCGCGTATGAAGCGCGAGGAGAAGGTTATCAACAGCTGGCATGGGTGGACAAAGAAAGGGTCCACCGGGTGGGGTGGGGACACACCAATCGAATGGCGGTGGTGGGATTTGGGAGATGGATGGGATGGGATGGGACGGGACGGGACGGGACGGGACGGGACGGGACGGGACGGGACGGGACGGGACGGGACGGGACGGGACGGGACGGGACGGGACGGGACGGGACGGGACGGCACGGCACGGCACGGCACGGCACGGCACGGCACGGCACGGCACGGCACGGCACGGCACGGCACGGCAGGGCATGGCATGGCATGGCATGGGATGGGATGGGATGGGATGGGATGGGATGGGACGGGACGGGACGGGACGGGACGGGACGGGACGGGACGGGACGGGACGGGACGGGACGGGATCGGGACGGGACGGGACGGGACGGGACGGGACGGGACGGGACGGGATGGGATGGGATGGGATGGGATGGGACGGGATGGGATGGGATGGGATGGGATGGGACGGGATGGGATGGGATGGGATGGGATGGGATGGGATGGGATGGGATGGGATGGGATGGGATGGGACGGGATGGGATGGGATGGGATGGGATGGAGGTCAACTGGCAGTGCACTTGTGGCTGGTTCTTCGAATGCTATAAGGGGAGTCTACTATCAGCTGGAAGACAGGTAGGAGCAGGGAGACGAGGAGCAGGAAGGCAAAGGATGGAAGGAGGAAGCTGGGTGAAAGCACAACGAGTGTTGCCGATTAACTGTGAACTAGGCAGTGCTGCCCATCAACCGGCAATATCACCCACCCACCTGCCCCTCTCACACCCATCTGCCCCTCTCCCACCCATCTGCCCCTCTCCCACCCACCTGCCCCTCTCCCACCCACCTGCCCCTCTCCCGCCCACCTGTTCTTCAGGGACGCCTGGCGAGGCGCAGTTGAGGAGAATGAGGAAGACGGATGGGTCCACCTGCCGCCTCGCCTCCTCCTCCACCTGCTGCAGCGACCGCCCCCCTCCCCCCTGCTGCTCCTGCACTGGATCCCCCCCCTGCTGCTCCTGCAGGGGTGGCCTCCCCTCAGAGCCCCCCATGGCAGCCCACGTGCGCCTGCGCCCTGCACACCCTCACCCCCTGCGTCTTGCGCCCCTCCCCCCTGTGACCTGCCCCCCCAACCCCCCCTGTGCCCTGCCCTCCTCCCCCCTCGAAGCCTCTCGCCCGAAGCCCCCTGTCCTGCGCCCCGCGACCTGCTGACATGACGGCGCGACGGTGAGGGAGGGAGTGGGGGGAGGGAGGGGTGGAGCATGCATGCATGCATGTATGGGAAGCGTAGAAAGTTCTCTATTGCGACATGCCATGCGTGACAAAGCCCCAACGCATGTCCGTGTGGAGGTAGGGTAGGGTGTCGACGTGTGGTTGATTGGAGAAGGCTGTATTGTGATGTGAGGGCCGGGGTGGGAGGACAGCACATACATGATAACATCAGAGACAGGACAGGTGAGGAGAAAGGGTGACCTCCCAGGGGCCCTCACAAACCCGTCTCTCCCTAGCGAGGCTAGTTCTGAGTAGCTCAAGAGTGGCGTTTTCTCCTTCGCCCAGGCCTCGGACTCTCTTCTCCATTCAGCCTTCTCCCTTCTTCCCTCTCCGCCCCAACCCCCACCACCACCCACCGCTCCCAGAAACCCCCCCTGCCCCTCCCCCCCACACCAGCTTCCGCCGGTGGACTACCTACCCCCTCGCCGTCCCATCCGCTCCGCGTTTCTCGTGCCTTTAACCTCGCAGTCACCTGCGCCAGCCAGCACCTGCGCCAGTCAGCACCTGCGCCGCTCACCAGATCAGCAGGGCAGCAGGCGCGCGGACGGGTTTATCGACGTGCGGGGAAGCGAAAGCAGGCGGAGCGGGGGGACGTGGGGGAGTGAACGGAGGGGGGAAGGAGCGAGGCGCTCGGGCGGGGCGATCCGCGTGGAAGGAAGCGGAAGAGCAGACGGCTCGACCGGGGAAGGCGGGGAAAAGAAGTGGGGCAGGAGCGAGGCGCGTGGGGGAGCGAAGGGAATGCGCGGGTAGAACGAAGGGCGAGCGGGGTGGGAGACCGACGAGAGAGGCGCAAGCGCGAGCGGAACGGCCAGGGGAACGAATATCGATACCGCAATCTCTGGCTACTCTCTGGAATGTCGATCTAATATTGGAGGTGTACGCGGTACAGTCTCTGGCCAGCCTTCAATTCTGATTTGAAGGCTCTCGCCCGATGCATCGAGCGCTTGTGGTTTCCTTCTACACACTCGGTTGGTATAGTGTTGATTCGTTACAGTTCAGGCTTCATTATAACATGCTAAACAACGTTAAGTTCACATAAGAACACCTAAGCATCACATTAGTAGCAGGATGAGCTACACCTAAACCATCAATACAAACAGAACAAGCAGCACAAGTAGATATATACTGGTTCTGTTCCTGCTGCTGGTAACTGTTGCGCCTGCATACAAGAAATACACCAAAGAGATTCGCACCACAAGAAGAAAAGAAATGCCTAAGGTTTGTGTGCTGAATGTCTGTGTGCCGAAGGTGTGCCGTGCATCTTCTGAAGGTTTGTGGTGTGATATAACGAGGAGAAGAGGGATTCGAAATATAACGCGGCTCCAAACACCAGTGCTCTCCAACCAAACCAAACCAAACCAGACATACCCTTCGCCTCTGGTGCCGATGATAGCTCGCCTGCACATTTAATCGTAGGTGGAAGCGAAACATGGGTGGTAAAATATTCATCAGTGCTTGTCCCTTCAGTGGAAAGATTCAACTAAAGGGCTGCATGGACCGGGCTTGTGGGGCATGGCAAGCCCACACGCCCCAGGCAGCCCACACGCCCCAGGCAGCCCACACGCCCCAGGCAGCCCTTGCATAGCAAGCAATGCATGACTCTCCTCTCCTATCATCTGCGCTCTCTCCTCTGCTTCCCTGTCCCCCTCTCCAACGCGGGAAGAACACATCCCTGTATATCATTAAAAAACGAGCACCCAGGTTGCATTGCACGCATACCTTGTGAGCCTTGACTCGGACTCGATGGGCGCACACTCTCTGCAAAGGGATGAAGGAGAGGATGGTGTGGATGGGGAGCCGGTGGGGAAGGATTAAAGAGACATTTTTGGAAGGGATTGAGGGACAGGGAAGAGTTGTGGAATGAGACACATGAAGTACCTCCAGCCATGGCAAGGCAGCAATAGGGCACTAGGGTGGGAGGACACTTCAGCAGAGAAAGAGCAGCACAGCGTGTTACAATACAGTATACTGTAGGCGTACTTCAACAGGCCATAAGCGGATCACGGTGTGTCACAGCATGCAATAAACGTGTCAAGAGAGCTACAACCGCTCGCTCTCACCTGCCCATAGCTGCCCTCACCTGCCCATAGCTGCCCTCACCTGCCCATAGCTGCCCTCACCTGCCCATAGCTGCCCTCACCTGCCCATAGCTGCCCTCACCTGCCCATAGCTGCCCTCACCTGCCCATAGCTGCCCTCACCTGCCCATAGCTGCCCTCACCTGCCCATAGCTGCCCTCACCTGCCCATAGCTGCCCTCACCTGCCCATAGCTGCCCTCACCTGCCCATAGCTGCCCTCACCTGCCCATAGCTGCCCTCACCTGCCCATAGCTGCCCTCACCTGGCCCATGCCCCCGGCTGGGTGTTGTGGTGGTGTTGGGTGCGGCAGGCGAAGGGCTACCCTCTGAAATGACAATATGTGGATGGGGAAGAGAAAGTGCAAGGAGGCGGAGAGGGACAAAGAGGTGGTGGGCGGAGTGGTGGAGGTTGGGGGAAGGGAGGAAAAGACGGAGGACGGAAGGAAAATGGGTCCACAGGGAGGGAGGGGGGCCACAACTAAGAGGAAGCAGCATTTTAAGGAAACTCAAGACTAGAGCGAGTGAACTGAGGCCTGTTATCTCAGTCCAGTACGTGGCGGTGGTGGTAACTGCATGTGTGGAACAACATGGAGACGCATTAATGAATAACGCAAGGAGGAAGAGCAGGTGAGGGAGGGGGGAAACAGGACGTGCTAAGGCAGGATGGATGGAGGAAGCGTTAAAGGCAGGAGAGGTAGAGGCAGCACCTTGCGGTAGTGACGTTCGGAAAAGCTCCTGGCCCGTGGAGCCTGTGGGATTGGGTTGCATGGAGATAAGAAAGAGTCAGATGTGGGGGGAACGAAAAGGAGGTATTTCACGGCCAACTGAAGAAAGGAAAAGGAGATTGATGAAAGACAAGAAAGAAGCTTTGCAGGGAAGAGGAGCAATGGGCAAAAGAGCAGTTGGAGGAGAAGTGTCTGGGAACACACGTGGACGTAACCAGACGCAGGAGGACAAGCCTTCACACATGTTGCTGCCATTATACTGTATAGACCCCACTCTCTTATTGCTGTCGTGTGCATGCAGCTGCCGCTACTGCTAAGCCAAGCGGCTATAGAACCAGTCATACTTGGAGCATGAGGATTGGATTCACCGGTCCTAGCAGTAGCAGGAGGATCAGACAGGATGGTCGTTCAGCATCTGGATGAGGGAATCGCTTTCGGGGTACTTCAAATGTGCCATGTGCCATGTGGCATGGCGGCCCTGTGCTCATGCCTAGCAAGTGGCATGACCTACATTCGAAGGGGTGGCAACGTACAGTTGAGGGGGTGCCAGCCGAACAGCCCTTTCTCCTCGTCCATGAGGATGTAGAAGTTCTGCAGCCACGACTCTGAGGGTGATGGGGGGGGTAGGAGGGGGGGGAGAAGGGGGTTGGTTGGGGGGGAGGGAGTAAAGAATGGAGAATAGGAGGCATGAAGAAGGAAAACAGCCCTCTCTCCTCATCCATGAGAATGTAAAAGTTCTGCAGCCACGACTCTGGGGTGATGGGGGGGGGTTGGGGGGGTGGTATAAGCACAGAGAAAAAGAGGAAAGTAGCATGAGTGTGATTGTGGTGAGGTGGCCGTGGTGAGGTGGCCACAAGTCTGGCAAGGAAAGAGGCAGAGTCTCACGAAAATATATGTGGTGTGGGGAAGTGAGGGATGGAAAAACTGTGTGGTGGGCACACTTGGTGCAGTGGAAACAGACAGAGTCGCATGACCTTTGATGACTGGTAGTGAATCAACCACAGTGCATTGCATACCTCCAATGATGGCTGACACACGCGAGGAGGAAATGGGGAGGGCCGCCAGGCACAGCAGCGCCATGCCCGTGCGCTCCATGAAGCCCTGCAGACGGGGGAAGAGGGGGGAGGAGGATAAGGGAGGAAGGAGAGACAGAGGGGAGGAGGATAAGGTGGGGAGCAGCCAGGCACAGCAGCGCCATGCCCGTGCGCTCCATTAAGGCAAGAAATGTGGAGGTGTGCTGGTGGATGGGGCGGCTTGGGTGAGGGAATGAACGGGTACGAACGGAGCAAGGGCAAGCGGTGGAGGGAGCTTAGCTGCTGAGAAGTTGAGAGAAACTGACACTTGCACAGGTTTCTTTAGCATCATACTGTGTGTGTGGCCCGAACATTCTGAAATGCATGGGACGGCAGGAGGAGACAAACACCTATTCCCAGGTTTCATTCCCGGTCTGCTACTAAGAAATGTATAGGAATCTTGACCCGTGCAAAAAGGTTGATGGAAAGGACTCACCCCAAGGAAAAGGTAGTTGGTGGGCGGCACGGCCCAGGTTGTGTTGCCGAAGCTGATCAGGAGGTTTGGGAAGACCGAGTCAAAGAGGGTGGCGTTGCTGGCAGGTTCGGATGGAAACAGAAAAGCAGGCAGGGAGGAGAAGTGGGGAGGATAAGGCAAAAAAAAGATGAAAATATTGATAGATGGATACGTTGATATTAAAAGAAAACAGATGCTGGAAGGATATTCATTGGAAAACGGACACTTCATATTTCTACTGATACTCAAGTGAGTGGCGTGTGGGCACCTGGGAAAGAGGGTGCAATCCCCGAGGGTGGGATCAGCGAATGCAGAGAGGAGCGGGTCGGAAAACACCTGCTTGCGACAGGACAGCAAGTCACAGGGGAAAGCAGAGCTTATTTCGAGGTGGGGAGTGAGAGGTATAAGTGAAGTTGGAAGAAGCGGGTGAAAGTGGGGTGGGTGGGAGAAACAACGAGCTGCAAGGAAAGCGGGGGCGAGTTGACTTCACGGGAGGCACCGCAGTGAAGGAGGCAATGCTGCTGACCATACTGAAATACAAAGACCCCTCATTCCATCCATGCATACCACCACACCACCGTTCACCGCATTGGACCTTTCCACCTCTCACACCACCGCATCCCACCACATCCCACCGCAGCTCACCGCATCCTTTAGCGAGGTGTAGACATCGGGCGGCAGTGCAGTTAAGGTGGTACTGCTGTCAATGATTACCCCGCCTGCCAGGCTGGCCGCGTCCACTGCTGACAGCGAATCAGCACCCGCCACCTGGCGACCTCCGATGCTCATTCCGGTGATGTTGATGTAGTGGTATGGGCTGGATTGTCGCGGATGCGTGCCGGGAGGAATGGACGAGAGGGGGACGAGGGAGACAGGGAAACGAGGGAGGAGGAGGAATGGGAAGGAGGTTGTGAAGTAAGTTTCTTAAACTCTCCCCAAGTAGCGGAACTTGAGAAGTTCGTGTCTCAATGTGAGTGCCTCAGGGTGACAAATAATGAGGGAAGTGAGACTGTCGCTGCTCTGACTGACAACACATCAGTCTGCCACGTCAACAGCACTCAGTCCTGCCACATCATAAGCACTCTCGGTCCATCTACATGCCACAGCGCGGTCGTCTGCATCTCCTTGGGTTGCTGCGACTGCCCAGTGGCGGTGACCTCCCCCCCCATTCCTACTGTCCAGGCAGAAGGAGAATCTACTCCCTCCCACACAATGCTACATGCAATCACAGCAGCACTCACAGTCCGTCAACATGCCACAGCGCTGCTGTCTGCATGTCTGCGGGTTGCTGCGACCGCCCAATCGCCAGGTGGCCTCCCCCCGTGTCCCCCCCGTCCAGGCAGAAGGAGAATGCGAACGGCATCACCGCTTCCTGCTGCCCTGCACCCGCTCCCGTGCCTACTGCAGCTGCTTCTGCTGCTGCTGCTGATGCTGATGCTGATGCTGGTGCTGGTGCTGATGCTCCTGTAGGCGAGGCTGCCACTTGTGTTGGCGAGGAGGGTGAGGAGGAGGGCGTGGAGGAGGAGAGTTGGCGGATGACGGAGCGGGGGCCCGAGCCAAAGCCCATGAGGCCGTCCACTGAGAAGGGGCTGCTGATAAGCGTGCCTGTTTGGAGTGATGAGCAGCTGAGGAAGGCAGGGAGAAACATACGGTAATGGGGAAAGAGGGAAAGAGGGATGGGGTTAGGTGCAAGAGCCAAAGCCCATGAGGCCGTCCACTGAGAAGGGGCTGCTGATAAGCGTGCCTGTTTGGAGTGATGAGCAGCTGAGGAAAGCAGGGAGAAACATACGGTAATGGGGAAAGAGGGAAAGAGGGATGGGGTTAGGTGCAAGAGCCAAAGCCCATGAGGCCGTCCACTGAGAAGGGGCTGCTGATGAGCGTGCCGGTCTGCAGGGAGGAGCAGCTGGTGGAAGAGAAGAAGAGGGGGGGGGAGAAAGAGGGGTGAGGGGAAGGGGAACGAGGGGTGAGGCTAGGTGCAAGAGCCAAAGCCCATGAGGGTGCCAGTCTGCAGGGATGAGCAACTGGTGAAGAAGGAGGGCGGAGAGGGAAGGGGTAAGGGGAAAGAGGGGCAAAATTAGGTGCGTGCAAGAGCCAAAGTCCATGAGACCGTCCACTGAGAAGGGGCTGCTGATGAGGGTGCTGGTCTGCAGAAACGAGCAGCTGGCGTTTGGGGGGAGAAGGCAAACGGTAATTGGGGGGCGGTTGGATTTCGAGTTTTGAATGGAACGCAAGGGACCTCCTGCCATGTGAGACATCATGCGTCGTAACATAATTACTTGTAACATCTGTGACAACATGCCATGAGACATCATCCCATGTGACATCATGCCATGTGACATCATGCCATGCCATGTGACATCCTTCACACCTTGTTGCACCATGTTGCTCCACCACTCACCCAATTTATCATGCAACATGACATCATGTGTATCTTGTTTCATCATCATGTGACATGTAGCACCAGACCATGTGTCATCATGTCAAGTGACATCCATAACACCTTGTTGCACCATATAGCTTCACTCACCCAAACAGCACCCGTGGGCTCACAACACTGCTTCCACTCCCTGCCGACCCCTCCAATGGCTGACCGCCACCTGGCACAGCCGACGGCGCTGACGTGGCAGCTGCCACTCCACCCACCCCCGCTTGCGTCACACTCAGGTTAATCACATCAGTCACCAGGGTCCCCTCCGTGCTGCTGCCATCCCCGTAGCGAATCACATACTGACACGTCTCACTGGGAGCAGGCCAATCAGCAGCCGCCAGGGGAAGGGAGCCCGTCAGAGAATCAGAGGCATTGGAGGAGGTTGAGAGCGGTAGAGGCTCTGGAACCCCACTGGTGGGAGATTCCGGCGGAGCAGAGCGGGGGGTGGTGGTGGGAGTGCGCACTATGCGGGTGAGGTTGGGGGCAATGCCGCAGCCGATGTTGGGGCGGCCGGTGGGGCACAGAGGGCTGCTGCAGCTGACGGGTTGTGCTGTGAGCGAGTTCTCCGGGCGGTAGGGGGCGCTCAGAGGCTGAAGGGTGGGGGGAGAGGTGGGGAGGAAGGAGGGGGGAAGGGGGGAAGAGATCAGCAGTGCGGGTGGGATTGGGGGCGGCACCGCAGCCGATGTTGGGCCGACCAGTGGGGCAGAGAGGGCTGCTGCAGGCCACGGCCGGTCTTGTGAGGGGGTTCCCCCTGGCGGTAGAGGGCGCTCAGAGGCCCAGAGGACAGAAATCGGAAGTAGGGAGCACGAAGACAAGAGTGGGTGAAAGAAAAGGAAGGGGAGGACTGTGGGTAAGAGGAGGAGAAGGCCAAGAGGACAGAAATCGTTGCTGCAGCGTGACGGGTTGAGGCACAGCGAGTACTGCTGCAGCGAAATGCAGAAATACTTGCGCTATACTGAAACTTTGCTGTTCTTACCACGAGTTTTTGTGCTTAACACAAGTGCTTGCGCTGACAAAACTTTGTGCTTACAACGAGCGAGGAGTCGGTGGCACACTGGAAGCAGTCACAGGGCACCCACAGCATGTCGCTCCCGGTGTCAAAGACGACTGAGAAGGAGCGCGCAGGCGATGAGAGCGACACGTTCAGATAGTAGAGCCTGGGTCGGCAGGGGCGGAGGAATAGGAGGGGAGTTGACGCTTGCGTGTTAGGCGGCATTTTCAGGTTATACAGCCTGGGACAGAAGAGATGGCTTTGGGGAATCTTGAGAGGCGACTCACGAATTACCATGGAGAATGAACAAGCAGGCGAGGAGAGGGACAATCTCAGGATGATGACGACGCAAGAGAGGCAGGAGTGGGCGGGGAACGTGAGGACCGTGTGAAGGGAAGGGGAGCAGCAGGGAGGGGGAAAGGGGGAGTTCAGAAGTCATCGCTGAACAACTGAACAAGCAAATCCGTCCAGCCCACTGCCGCCTGCTTGCCATCAGATGCTGAGACAACTAAGGTACATTCATATAGACCCATCCCTCACATCACACCCCAGCCCACTACTGCTGCCACATCATTGTGTCCAAACCCCGACCCAAATTACCCGTATGGGATGGTTCGGCCTCCCAGGTCGAACGCTGCAACGCCAGCGGCAGCACCTGCTGCTACTGCAGGCGATTCCTGCAGCCTGCGAGCACCAGTGGTGCTGCTGGCTGGCCGGTGTGAGTGTGCTGAGGCCGCTGAGGGCGGTTGGGGGGCAAAGGCCGTGAGGATGCGATGCATGTCCCGGTGGCGCTGACGCCTGTGGTATGTGGCGTGCTGTGGGGGTAGGAAGAGGGAAAGGGAAAGAGGGGAAGGGAAAGGGGGGGAGGGTAGATGGAGGGAAAGGGGAGCGGGTAGGAGGGGGAGTTGGAAAAAAGGGCGAGGAAGAGAGGAGGTTAGAAGGGAGAACATGGAGGAGGGTGGAGGGGAGGAGGAAACGAAATCGGGAAGGATATGTCATGGCAGATGGCACTGGCTGCATGCATATTACACGTCATTAAGAAAGATTGTCAATTGCTATCTGGTGAGTGAGGGATGGCATGGGAACACCAGGCCACGTGGTCCAGTTCAACCTATTGCACGTCACACACGTGGCCTCCGCAGCACATCAACTGCATAAGTCATTTTGTGTTCCTTGCAATACGCTGACTGGGACCGGCATAGCTTAATGGTGAGTGAGGGATGGGAACACCGGGCTATGTGGGTCCAATCCAACCTAATACACGAACACATGACCTCTGCAGCACACCGACTGCAGATTTGACTTTGTGTTTCGTGCATTAGGTTGGATGGGGCCCACATAGCTTGATGTTCCCATCGCTCAGATCCCGAATGTGATTGTGCGGTATCGACCGATGCAGTGGAGCTAACAGCAATAGTGGGTCTGTTTGATTGATGATACATGGCATGCATGGCACTCACGTCACCGTCACACCCATGCACAGCAGTATGGTGCACGAGAGCCGCCGTCAGCACATGCCCCGGCTCCCCTAGCAGCACTCTGCCATGCGCGTGCTCCCTGTGCTGCCAGGGGGCCAGCCAGGAGGTCGATGGGGAGGGGGATGGGCGGGGAAAGAGCTGCGCGAGGGACTGCAGAGAGGAGGGAGGACCGAACGGGGGAACAAGGGGCGGTCGGGCGGACGGGCGGGGAAGAGGGGGCGAGACAGGGGAGGAGAGCAGGATGGCACGGCAGGAGAGAAAAACTTGAGAGATTGTATGAATGCAGTTGTGCGAGTGAGTACACAAAGACTGCGCTGCAGATGAGTTGCTAAGTGGAAGCGGGTGAGTGAGTGTAACCAATAATAGAGCAGGTTGCTATTGCTGCAGCCTAAGAGTCCAAGCATGACGGATTTCACTCACATGGTTGAGGACGGCGTGAAAACTGAGTCGCAACGCGGGAGCAGGCGAGTGCGTGTTACTTGCCTTGACAGAGCAGGATGGTCCTGTGAGAGTCACTTACATGGGGAGGGCGACGCGAGGGATTGGCACGATGTGATTGCGCGTCCAGAGAGGCCGCAGAGCCAGTCGCCAGCAGCAGCAGCAGCAGCAGCAGCAGCAGCAGCAGCAGCAGCAGCAGCAGCAGCAGAGCGGACAGCGACGCGCACGGCGCTGCTGCGCGCACTCGTCTGCTCTGCCGCATCGGATGAATCAGCACACGCGGGGGGCGCATCATGAAATTCGCAACAACAACCATTCACTCCAGACGTCTCAAACAGCCAAGGAGGCGTCTCGGCGAGTAACAACAGTTAAGGGGCGCGCCTCTCGTGTGGTGCGCGCTATCGTCAAGCAGATACTCGCCTCCCTACACGGAGCTTCGAATTCTTAAGAATCTGTTTTTCCAGCTATGGGAAAAATAAATCCCAGCCCCTGGAAATCCCTTATCTGCCTTTCCGTGCTCTTCAGGATAACAGACTCTCGCACTCTCGGAGAGCCGCGCTTGGCACCTCCCTTGACGAGAGGAGAGCGCGAAACAGCAATCGGCTGACAAGGAGCTCGGAGCGGGATGGAGCGAATCGGCTGCAGATGTGGAAACGAGCAGCCAGCTGCTCGCTCGCTCGCTCTTTCCATCTCGTCACGATCGCCACGGCAGGGACGGTCGGTGCAATCTGACGGCGGAGATCGCACGTGCGATTTTGAATCACGATGCGACGGGATTCTAGTCCCGTCACACCGTGTGAGAGGCATTTGGGCTAGCTTCGAGGCGGAAGGGAAGACTCGGAAACGAAGGGAAGAAGGGAGGCAGGGCAAGGAGGCAGAGGGAGCAGGGAGGGGGAAATAGAAATGACGTGTGAGAAGGGTCGCATCGAAAGGTACGGGCCGGGTGCTGTCGAAGGCGCCTCTAATAGACCGTCGCTAGTGCTGGTGCTTGATTTGACAGGCAGCCATGAATCAGTAGTGTCGCCAGTTACTAGGTTGGACGGGACAACAAGCAAGCATGGTACCAGTACCAACCAAACAAGACTCGACGTTTCCCCGTCGGAAGGGTTGCGTAGATGTTACATAGTTGTACAAGTTCACGTTTTCCCGTATTGATGAATATGGCAACCTCGTTAGTTCTAGATGATGCAACTTAATAATTTAAACGTGGCTTTTATAAATTTACTGTTATATATTAGGTGAAGATTTAGACACATTGATTGTTTTTTTTTACTTAGTAAACAATGATGTTCTCTATCCTCAAAGATGATATTTTGTAATATTGCACAATGAGGTTCTTGCTAGCAAAAGTGTTGTTCAAAGTGAGATGTTTTCCAACTCACTCAAATATTCCATCTAGCCATGTGTGTCACGTGATTATGGGTGTGTTTTCACGTGACACGAGTCTGTTTTTGTTTTCTAGTGCCCAAGTTTTGCTGATGTTTTCAGATCGCCCCAAGTGTTTCATGCTTCGTCTTTTTCAGGCAGGTGCACAACAACCTCAGTTATACATAACTCCTCTAATTGCCCAGTTCCTCAATTTTGGTTACCATACTGTAGTTGTTAAAAAAAGAGTACAGCGGAATGAATGCATTGAGCAGTAATGAGAATACAAGTATGAACCCTAAAAACGTTGTATCCCCTACAGGAGACCCACTACAGCCTATAACCACAAACCAGGTTTTGGCGATAGTTACTGCCCCACCTCCCTTGACACTTCCCCAAACCAACCCAACAATACCACCTCGTCATCACCTCTCATCTCCCACCCACCTATCCTAAAGTGGCCCAATCAGTAGAATGGGCACTTCCGGGTTCAAACCCCAGTGCCGGCGAGTCCTGCCAGCACCCCAGAAAGGGGGTTTCACACTGCTCATCTGGGAGTGGATGGTTCTTACCTCGATACCCAGCGAGGTGTGTAAACAAGTGGGTAGGCGGATTACGATCCACAGCCGGGGTAATACGAAAGGACGTTTCCCCTATAACCTTTACATTTACCTCTCCCACCCACCTCTTGCCTCTCTCTCCCACCTACCCAGCTCATCATCGCCTCTCCCTCCCACCCACCCAGCTCGCCATTGCCTCTCCCTCCCACGTTTCCATGCCCGCTCCCCCCCACCCCGCCATCCACTCTCTATCCCATCGCGCCATCCCCTCTCCCTCCCACCCGCCGTCGCCTCTCCCTCCCATCCGCCGTCGCCGCTCCCTCCCTCCCGCCGTCGCCGCTCCCTCCCACCCGGCCGTCGCCTCCCCCTCCCATCCCGCGGTCGCATCCCCCTCCCACCCGGCCGTCGCTTCCCCCTCCCGTCCCGCCGTCGCTTCTCCCTCCCACCCCGCCGTTGCCTCTGGCGACAGGTCACGAGCGAGCTGGTGCGCGATGGGGGAGCGCGTGTTGGATCTTTGAGGCTCCGTGATTTGCAGGTGCGTTTACATTTCCCCGTCCTTCTTTCCTTCCTCCCCCCTACAAAATTCTCTTGTTTTTCTACCTTATTTGTAGTTTTTTTGTGTCGATTAGTATCCTCTTGCGTTGCACTACTATTTGAAGTGGGGGAAAGAGGGAGCGAGAGGGAGAGCGAGCGCACGGGAGTGAGCGCGCAGGAGGGTGCACGTGAGAGAGTACATGCGAGAGGGAAGAAATACAACTGGAGGGAGACAAGGTGGCAGAGCGTGCAGGAGGGAGCGTGCGATGGAGGGGTGGGAGAGTGGGCGCCGTTGGCACTTGTGCTTTAGGCACTTGCACTTAGGGCACTGGTGCCGTGGCCGCTTGCGCCTAAGGCTCTAGCGTAGTGGGTGCTTGCGCTCAGGGTGCTGGTGCTGTGGGCACAGGTGCCCTGTGCACTTGCGCCATTGGCGCGGGCCCCGTGGGCGCGAGCGCCATGGGTGCTGGCCCTTAAGGCGCTGGCGCCGTTGGCTCCTCCCCGCCGTCACCTCTCCATCCTCCCCGCCGTTGCCTCTCCCTCCTCCCCGCCGTCGCCTCTCCCTCCTCCCCGCCGTCGCCTCTCCCTCCTCCCTGCCATCGCCTCTCCCTCCTCCCCGCCGTCGCCTCTCCCTCCTCCCCACCGTCGCCTCTCCCTCCTCCCCGCCGTCGCCTCTCCCTTCTCCCCGCCGTTGCCTCTCCCTAGACTACGGAGGGTCAGCGAAACCTGCGGCCGTAAGATACGGGGCCACATGTTAAGCTGGTGCGCGGCGTAGCAGACTGCAAAGGGTCACATGGGGAGCACTAGCATGGCAATGACTACGCCAATGTGACGACCAGCAACCCTATTCTGCTTCGGCGAGTCCAGTAGCGAGTACGATTGGCGGATGCCCTCGGCGCGACAAATTTGCTCAAGTCGACTGAAGGTGAACTCGCTTACTCCACGGTGTTTCCCTTGAAGCGGAAGGACCCTCTAGCATTTCGGCCTTCAGTTCTCCTCTGCACAGCCCACTCCTGTGCCTGTTGGCCACATGCTCTCGGCTCTTGTCCCTGACGAGCCTGTTGAGCCCGGTGGTCAGTACGCAGAGCTGGCGGGGTGCCTCATATAACTGATAACCTGTACTTTCCCAGACCTCGCATATCCTCTCATCTTCATTGCTCGCTTTGTTGCAACTGGGAGACATCGACCTGTGCACTGGTCTGATGTTAAGAGGGTATTGCGCTTTCTGGCTAGTACGTCAGGCATGGGGCTTGTGCTAGGAGGACAACAGCTAGTTGCAATCACGGGACACACTAACGCGTAGTGTGCATACGACACCGAGACCTCTCATGCCCTCTCAGAACTACTGCTTCAGTCTTGGCGCAGGAGCGTTCTCACTGACTTAGGAGCTCAGGGTCTCTGCTGGCTGAAGCTCTTGCTCAGTGACTTAGGTGAGCCGCCTAGCTCTGCCCAGGTCCTGTTCGCTGATAACACGGCCATGATCTTCTTGTGTCAAGAGCCTAGACTAAAGGGCAGAGCGAAACACATCTAGCTGTGGTACTTCGAGCTGCGTGAGCTACACTAGCTGTTCTACACTTGGTCTCATGGGCCAATACTACTGATTTCTTCACTAAGGCGCTTTCGCCTCGAGATCATCAGCGGCTTTGTACACATCTTGGCCTTGTCCCAGCAGGACCTCACTTGTTAGGTTCTTGATATTTGTACACTGTACTACTGGGTTTGACTTTGTTTGGTTATATTCACTTATTGGCCTTGTGGCCCTTTGTCTTAGAAGCTAGTCTAGTAGTATCGCCCTCAGCAGTACCTCATACACTGAGTAGTTCTTGCACCTTGTGGCCCCTTGTCTCAGAGGCTACAGTAGTAGTGCCGTCCTAAATTGTTTCTCTTCTTCTAGGCACTGTCTCTTCCCTAGCCTAAGGGGTGTGTCGACTTACACATTTGCACTTGTCATGTGTATTATGTAGGCTAGGTTGGGTTAGACTATGTCGGGTATAAGAAGACATATCTAGCTGTGGTACTTTGAGCTGCGTGAGCTACACTAGCTGTTGTACACTTGGCCTCATGGGCCAATACTACTGATTTCGTCACTAAGGCGCTTTTGCGTCGAGATCATCAGCGGCTTGTACACAACTTGGCCTTGTCCCAGCAGGACCCCACTTGTTAAGTTCTTGATAGTTGTACACTGTACTACTGGGTTTGACTTTGTTTGGTTATATTCACTGATTAGCCTTGTGGCCCTTTGTCTTAGAAGCTAGTGTAGTAGTATCGCCTTGAGCTGTACCTCATACACTAAGTAGTTCTTGCATCTTGTGGCCCCTTATCTCAGAGGCTAGAGTAGTAGTGCCGTCCTAAATTGTTTCTCTTCTTCTAGGCACTGTCTCTTCCCTAGCCTAAGGGGTGTGTCGACTTACACATTTGCACCTGTCATGTGTACTATGTAGGCTAGGTTGGGTTAGACTATGTCGGGTATAAAAAGATATATCTACCCCCCCCCCCCCCCACCCACCCCCCCCCCCACCACCACCCCCTTGTATACCCTCAGGAGTTCATTATTTCGATGTTAAACACAACAGTACACAGCTTCGCCTACACGCCATACTGCCAATATACTGCTTGCACCACACAGTACTAGACTTTATGCTAATTGACAGTGATTGACCCACACACTACTAGTACTGTGTATTTCTAGATATAAGACTCTGGGGACTTCATCAAAATCAATATAAAATCGTTAGGTGAACATCAGGGTGGTTGGAAATAGAAAAGACCCCTAAACTCTTATATAACACTGTACATTGCTTTACTGTGCCTATTTAAATTATCAGGGGGTCTTTTATTCGGGAAAAACGTGCTCTTATGCCAAGAATGTGCGAAACTGCTAAGTCACACACAGTGCCTCGTTGTACACATCTTGCATGTGCTTACGAGGCATGCAGCCTTATCGGCTGCCAGCACGATGCAGGCACCTCCCATAGTCACCTCCCATCATACATTCACCAGCCTCTCGCCAGCGGCACGAGAAGTGCCTTTGGGTGCAGGGTCGTGATCATTTTGTCCTCCACGTCTCTCATCAGCAAGGAGTCGCAGGATAGTCTCGTGTTCTGCAATGTATTTCACGCATCAATTTCGTAGCCTTAAAACGAGCAGCTATGTCGATGAGAAGTACCACCATTAGCAATCCCACGAGTAGTTAGCGCCATGTCGGCCTTCGACATCCTGATGCAGTCCCATGCTGGTGGTAGTAGGCAAAGATTACCGCGTCCGAACCCTGCACCTCGTGCGATCCCTGTCATCATAGCAGCGCCAGCTCCGCCCGCACCACCAGCGTCGTCTGCACCGCCAGCACCTCCGGCTCTTCCAGCGCCTCCAGCGCCCCCTGTCGTTATTCTGCCTTTTTTCGAGCCTGTCGATGATGACGATCTTGTTGGCGATGAACCGCTAACGCCTTCGGAGTCTAACCGTGCTCCTAACTACCCTCTTCCCCGCTTCCCCGATGATCTTGTTCATAACGAGGAAAGCCATGCAGGCAATCTTGAAGCACGCCCGCCGTCGCCCCGCCACCATGTTACGCATCACAAACGGAAAGCGCGGACGATGGCGGAGAAGCTCAGGTTCCTGACACGGATGCAGGACGAGCAACTCACAGTTCGTGCAACCGCTCACCTTGCCGACGTCCAACTGATTAGCGTCCACCGTTGGATCAAGAGCGCCGGCGGCTCGTCGGCGGCGGGAGGCATGCTAAATTCCATAACACGGACCTTAGCGTGTACCGCAGCTTCCTCTCCTTCCAATCTCGTGGCCTTGCCATTCCCAACCGTCTTCTCCAGACGTTGAGCTCCACTTACATGAAGCGTCACCACCCCGACGTAGATTGGCGTGCGTCAATTCGCTGGTGCATGCGGTTCCGTGGTCGGTGGTGCCTTACGATGCGAGTGAAGACCAAAGTCGGTCAGCGGCTTGTAAGAGTTAAGCCACTCACACGATTTCTTCTGTAACACGGTCACAACTCACCGTTCTAATTCGCGCTCATTTGGAATTTGGACTGCAAGGAGAAATGCGAGAGCTTCTGGGCGTTTGTCCGGAAGCAGGTGACACGCCGGGATTGATCCGTGGAACTTTAGTCAACGCAGACCAAACACCCGTTTTCTTGGAGATGCCACAGGAAAGGACTCTTCACCACAGCGAAAAGAAGACCGTCCACATTCGCAGCGCGGGATACGACAAGGAGAGGCTTACCGTGATGCTGGGGGTGTCGGGCACGGACACGAAGCTGAAGACAATGGTGATTTTAAGCACAAGACGATACCCAACATCAAGATTCCATAAGGTACGTTTCGTCGCTCATTCAATCCGTTTAACCCCTCTGAGGCTTGCTAACGCACTGTCGTTGTACGCCTGTGCAGGCATCGTGGCTCGTGAACAACACTGTGGGTGGATGGACGCCACCATTGTGCAGGACAGGGTGCATCTGCTCCCATTTGTGCCCCCCCCCCCCCCCCCCCCCCCCTCCCCCCCCCCCCCTCGCAGGTATCAGCCGGAGCCGCTTGCTTCTCGTGCTGGACTCCTACCGGGGTCACCTAACTGACGCAGTGCTGGGGTTGCTGCGCTAGAACAGCGTGATGCCTGCCATCATTCCAGGCGGCTGCACACCGTTCGTGCAGCCGCTCGAGGTGAGGATGAACCGGAGCTTCAAAGCCTGCATGCGCAAACACTACAACGAGTGGTTTGCAAGTGAGGGAATCAACTCCCTCACGCCAAAAGGTACAGCTTGCATAGGATTCTTTCTGCGTTCGTGCGCGTGTTTGTGTTAATGTCATGCAAGCACTCACGATTGCTTATCTATCACCCAGTCCACCCCGTTCACCCTAGGAAATCTCCGCAAGCCACCGGCCTAGCTCTTCCTCAAGTGGATCGCCGAGTCATGGGCGGCGGTGCCAGATGAACTCATCGTGAGGTCCTTCAAAACGTGTGGCATCACAAACAGCCCCGACGGTCGCGAGGACCACCTCATCCTCGCCCACATGCGTGATGCGGCGGAGGTCGAGGTGGTGGATAACAATAATACGGCTGCAGAGGTGGAAGAGTGGATCAACCCACTCTACGCAGCCCCCGCAGCCCGACACTATGGATGCTGCTGATGAGGAAGGCGAGGCCTCCGAGGATGATGAGGCCAACAATGACCCCGACGATCTTACAGCCTACGAGGAGTGGGATGATTACTTTGGTAGCAGTATCTAGGACAGAACGTGCAGTCAAAACATGTGAGGAGCTAGAGCCGTAGCCTGGTATGGTACTAGTAGGTAGCACATGACTGAACGTACGCTTCTATCCTATGTAGGTATTAATGTGACCCGTCACCTTAGCTAACTCTTGGTTTTTGCTTAAATGTAGTAGAAAAAAACATTCTACACCCAAGGGGTCTTATAATCGCTGGGGTGAAAATGGGGTTCCTCACAGATTATACCATATTAAGCGTTCACCTCCCCGCATATAAGTCCCATGGGACTTTTGTTCCGGAGGGTCTTATATCTGGGAATAGATGGTATGTTGCATGCTACTTCAAACCATCGTAGTATTGCACTACCCCCCAAACTAAATGGGAGTAATCCTTGTTAGGAGCTTTTAGCACAACCGACCAGGTGAGGACAAGCCATAACCAAGCATAGCATATCAGACGGTCTGCATGTAATCGAATGGACTGCGTG